TGGAAGGCACTCAAAATATGACTGGGGAAGAGCTGTCTCCTTAAAGTACAGTTGACTGCAATGGCGCTATGGAGCAAAGCTTTCAGAACCTCCATTTGCTGATGGGGCACAACTCAAAATGAAGAGAAATAGGTGTAAATAACCATTAATAACTGGAAGATGGAATGTACAAGGTATGAATATAGAAAATTGGAAGTTGTCAATAATGAAACGAAACACATAAACATCCATACCTAGGCATCAGTGAGCAGACCTGAACTGGTATTGTCATTCTGAATCTGACAACCACCTGGTTTACTATGCCAGGAGGACACCTCAAGATCTATCCTAAAGTACAATCTGGACTGTGATAAGATAATATCCATGTGCCTACAAGTAAGGTTAATTAATACAATTATTATTCAAATTTACACACCAAACACTGAAGCCAGTGATGATGAAACTGAAGAATTCTACCAATTTCTTCAGTCTGAAATTGGTCAAACATGAAATCAAGATGTATTAAGAATTATTGCTGATTAGAATGCAAAGGATGGAAACAAAGAGGAAGAATCAGCTGTCAGAAAACACAGCCTTGGGAACAGAAACAATGCTGGAAATCTCATGACTGAATTTTGCAAGACCAATGAATTGTTCATTGAAAATAACTTTTTTATAAAACATAAAAGATGACTATGCACATGGACCTCACCAGATGGAATACACAGGCATCAAACTGACTACCTTGGAGACAGGAGAAAGCTTCATATCATCAGTCAAAACCAGGCTTGGAGCAGACTCTGGAACATACCATAAATCTCTGATATGCAACTTCAGCCTAAAGCTGAAGAAAATTAAAACAAGTCCACAATAGCCAGAATATGACCTTGAATATATCCCACCTGAATTTAGAGATCATCTCAAGAACAGATTTGATGCATTGGACACTAATGACCGAAGACCAGAGAGTTGTGGGAAGACATCAAGAACAAGATACAGGAAAAAAGCAAAGGTCATTAAGAAGACAAGAAAGTAGAAAAAGACCAAAATGGATATCAGAAGAGACTCTGAAACTTGCTCTCCAGTACAGAGATACTAAAGCAAACAGAAGAAGTAAGGAGGTAAAAGAACTGAATAGAAAATTTCAAAGGACAGCTTGAGGAGACAAAGTCAAATATTAACATGAAATAAGTAAAGAGATGGAGTTAGAAAAGCAAAAGGGAAGAACAACTCAGCATTTCTAAGCTGAGGGAACTGAAGAAAAATTTCAAGCCTTGACCTGAAATATTGGAGGATTCTACAGGCAAAATATGATACAGAAAGCATCAAGAGAAGATGGAAAGACTACATAAGAGTCACTCTACCAAAAAGAAATGGTTGACGTTCAACTATCTCAAGAGTTAGCATATGATCAAGAGCCAATGACAATGAATAAAGAATTTCAAGGTGCACTGAAGGCATTGGCAAAGAACAAGGCTCTGGGAATTGATAAAATACAAATTGAAATCTTTTAACAAACTGATGTATCACTGGAGGCACTCACTCATCTATGTCAAGAAATTTGGAAGACAGCTACCTGGCCAACTGGAAGAGATTCATATCTGTGCCCTTTCCAAAGAGAAGTTATCCAAGGCAATACGGAAATCATCAGAAAATATTAATATTGCATGCAAGAAAAATTTTGCTGAAGAGAATTAAAAACTGGCTGCAACAGTACATTGACAGGGAACTGCCAGAGGTTCAAGCTAGATTCAGATGAGGACATGGAATGAGGGATTTCATTGCTGTCAGGTGGACCTTGGTTGAAAGCAGAGAATACCAAAAAAAATGTTTACTTGTGCTTTATTGACTGCACAAAGATTTTCTACTGTGTGGATCATGACAAGTTATGAACAACATTGTCGAGAATAAGAATTCAGGAACTCTCAATAGTACTCATGGGGAACCTGTATAAAGACCAAGAGATAGGCATTACAACAGAACAAGGGAACACCGAATGATTTAAAATTAGAAAAGGTGTGCACCAGGGTTGTATTCTTTCATCATACTTACTCAATCTGCATGCTGAGCAAATAATTCAAGAAACTGGACTATCTGAAGAAAAACGTGGCATCAGGGTTGGATGAATACTCATTAACCATCTCTGATATGCAGATGATACAATTTAGCTTGCTAAAAGCACAGAGGACTTAAAATACTTACTGGTGAAGGTCAAAGACAACAGGCTTTGGTATGGGTTACATCTCAATGTAAAGAAAACAAAAATCTTCACCACTGGACCAATACATAATATAATGAAAAATGGTGAAAAGATTGAAGTTGTCAAAGACTTCATTTGCTTGGATTAGCCATCAATACTCATGGAAGCAGAAGTCAAGAAATCAAACAACATATTGCATTAGGCAAATCTGCTGCACAAAAGTGTTAGAGAGTAAAGATGTCAGTTTGAGGACTAAGGTGTGCCTGACCCAAGCCATGGGATTTTCAATAACCTTATATGCATGTCAAAGTTGGACAAAGAATACAGAAAGAAAGATCATTGAAAAATTGATGCATTTGAGTTATGGTGTTGGAGGAGAATAGTAAAAGTATTACGGACTGCCAAAAGGACAAATAAATCTATATTGGAAGAAGTACAGCCAGAATGCTCCTTATAAGCCAGAATAGCCAGATTTCATCTATCATACTTCAGACATATTAGGAGGGGCCAGTCCCTGGAGAAGCACATCATGCTTGCTAAAATAGAGAGTCAGTGAAAAAGAGAAAGGCCCTTAAGGAGATGGATTGGCACAGAGGTAGCAGCAGTGGGCTAAAGCATAGCAATGATTGTGATGTTGATGCAGAACTGGGCAATGTTCTGTTCTATTGTGCATAGGGTCACTATGTGTCCATAAGACATCACCTAACAATAATTCTCTCCCATATCCATTCAGCCTGCATCTATTCACAGATAAGTTACTGCAAGATTGTATATATAATAGTATTTACCTCTGTCCCATTTAACTCTTGCACTCCCTTCTCATGCCTCCATCATTTTTGTCAATCATTTTATTGCCTCCTCCTTCGACCAGTTAACATGCACCTACCTAGCCAGTGACTTGCCCTCTCATTCCCTGGTCCAATATGTTATTCTCAAAAATTCTTTTCTAGGCTGTGGATTCTTTTTCATGTTTTTGGTGAAATCTTTTGATGCATGTGTCAAGTTTTCAAGAGGTCCCAGGTATCTAGTTTGTTCTCTATTGTTTGTTTTCAGTTATCTTTGATAACATACTTACGACATGTATAGTTGTTAAATGCTGCCAAGTTGGTTTGAACTCATAGCAACACTGTAAAGAATTTCTGTGAAGTGGCTGGTAGAGTTGAGCTGCCAAACTTTCAGTTACCAGTCCAGTGCTTATCCTGTAGCACCACACCCCTAAATTTGTCCTTATGTTCTCATAATTTTAGATTTTACATTTAGGTCTTTGATCCACCTTGAGTTTGTTTGTTTTGTATACTGTATGCGATATGGGTCCTGTTTCATTTCCCTGCAAATAAAGGTCCAGTTTTTCCAGCACCATTTGTTAAAGAAACTACCTCTTCACTACTGAATGACTTTGGGCCTTTGTTAAAATCAGCTATCCATAGGTGGATGGATTTACTTCTGAGTTCTCAAATCTGTTCCGTCATAATAGTACCAGGCTATTTTGACTCCTGTGGCTCCGTAGTATGTTTTAAGATTGAGAACTATGAGACCACCTACTTTGCTCTTCTTTAGGAGTGCTTTGCTTGTCCAGGGTCTCTTTCCCTTCATATAAAGTTAGTAATTATGTTTTCTATCTCTTTAAAGAACAATGCTGGAATCTGAATTGGAAATGCATTTTATCTGTGGATCGCTTTGGTAATTTAGTGAAAATGTTAAGTTTTCCTATCCACGAGCACAGTATATTCGTCCATTTATGTACTTCTCTTTTCATTTCTAGTAGTGTTTTGTACTTTCCTTTGTATAGGTCTTTTGCTCTTTATATGTTCTTCAAGTCTACATGGTTGTTCTTTCAACTTTTTAAACTATAGATCACTAAGGGAAAACTTAGATCCTCATAAAGCCATTAATTATACCTATTACTTACTACTGTTGGGGTGGGGTTGTGGAGAAAGTACATACAATAGTGTTAACTATGGACCCATGCTTCTTTTATGATAAACCAAACTCACTGCTGACAATTTGATGGTGACGCATAGTGACCCTATAGGATAGCACAGAGATGACCATAGGATTTCCAAAATTGTAAAATTTTAGAGAAGCACACTGCCATGTCTTTCTCCGGTGGAATAGCTGGTGGGTTCAAATTGCAACCTGCTGGTTAGAAGCAAGTACTTTTTAACCTTTGTGCCACCAGGTTCTCCTTCTGTATGTCAGAGAAGAAATATGATGCAAATGCTAGGGAAAAGTAGGTAGGAGAATGCTCTAGATTTAAATACTAAACTATAAACTCTTTCAATGAGGGTGACCCTATTTGGAAACAGCTTTTCTCACTTGAGACTAAACTAAGAGAAATAGGAATCCAACTGGTTCATTTTGAAAAAAAGGAAAAGATGGAAAGTCCTTACTGAGTTATCAAGATACAATGTAACTCTAACAAAGTGGCTGGGTGAACAGTGTGCCATCACAGGTGTCTTGCACTAGACAGGATTATGTTGTTGTTAAGTGCCATTGAGTTGGTTCCAACCCATAGCGACCATGAACAGGGTTTCCGAGGCTGTAAATCTTTACGGGAGCAGAAAGCCTCATCTTTCTCCTGTGGAACAGCTGGTAGCTTCAAACTGCTGACCTTGTGGTTCACAGCCCAATTCGTAACCACTACACTACTTATAAGCTATGTGAATAGCTCATTTCTTTCCACTTTACATCATTTACAGATGGACTGAAGAGTTTCATGTAGAGTTCAAGAACCAAACTTTAATAATCAGTAGTCTATATGAACAAACTATACTGCCATATACAGGTGTTCAATAAATAACTGACAGTCATATTTACTTACTTCTGAATATCTCCAGTGTTTCTTTGAAGATTCTTACTTTTCTTGTTTGATTTCATTGCAACTGAATTAGACTTTCTGGAATTCAAGGGAGAAGCCAAGATACTTTTCTCACCTACATTGTTCTTCAACAGAAAAGGCACAAGAAACATTATTAATGAAACTCTATGATAAAATAAGCACTTAATTAGACAAATTAATTCAAAGTCATGACAAAATTTTTCAAGGATTATGCTCACATTTAAATTCTATGTTGTTGTTATTAGGTGCCGTTGAGTAAGTCTTGACTCAGAGACCTAGTATAGGCTTTCTGAGGAGTGGTTGGTGGGTTTGAATTGCTGACCTTGAGGCTAGCAGTTCAATATTTATCTTACAGGGTCATACCAAGACTCCTAAATTTGATATACCCTATGAAAAATATTGGTGGTGGTGGTGTGCCGTGGAGTCAATTCCAACTCATAGCAACCCTGCATAGGGTTTCCAAGGCTGTAAATCTTCACAGGAGCAGAAAGCCTCATCTTTCTCCTGTGGAACAGCTGGTAGTTTTGAACTGCTGACCTTGAGGTTAGCAGCCCAGTTCGTAACTACTACACTACCAAAGAAATTAATATAAACAAAATTAAGTTCATCCAAGTTGGTCTAAATTAGCTTTTATGTATACTATGAAACACAGTAGACATGCTAATTATATTACCTGATAATTTATGCTAATTTTCCTTATTCTATAGAGGGAAATTCAAAGAGCCAGGAGTAAAAGTTAATTTTATGTAAGAAAAGTTTAATTTTGGACATCAATGGCATACCAATAAATTTCAGAAGTTTCTTAGTACACAACTGAAAAACTGATATAATTTGTGCTGCTGGACATTTGGCCTTGAGCCACCAAACTTTCACAAGCTAATAAAATATGATTCTAAAATATGAAATCTACTTTTGTAATCTTATGTAAAAACAAGTAAGATTAAAAATACAGACTCTTTAAAAACAGGTAATCAAAAATCAATAAACAGAACATCAAAACTATAGCTGTCAACCTGATTCTGACTCATCGCGGTCCTCTGAGTCCAGTAGGACTGTCCCATAGGATTTCCAAGCTGTTAAATCTTTGCAGAAGCACACTGCTGCATTTTTCTCCCATGGAGTGGCTGGTGGGTTTAAACCACTGGCCTTTTGCTTAGCAACTAAGCACTTACCACTAAGGCACCAGGGTTTCTAACTAATACATTAAACCTAGATCTGATTATCTTGCTATATAGTTTAATTACTGCCTGGGAACAAGTGAAAAGAATGGTGATAAAACACCTTATTTTCAAAGTAAAAGAAAAAATGGGATTCAATGCTTTGTCTGGCAGAATCAACCAGGGTTATTTCAAAATACAAACTTTCTTATCTGGTCTAAATCTACTAACTCAGAATCTCTGAGGATAGAACTCAGAGGAAATTAAGTAAATCTTACATGCATTCAGATTTGAGAACCTCTGCAAACTATTCCTCTGCTTTCAAAGTACACTATTTTAAAATATACTTAGCAAAATGAAGTATACTCAGAAGTGGGTTTTCTTTTTCCTTTTTTTTTTTTAGTGGCCTGCCATTCATAATATACCTAAATTTGGGATTATATACCTTTCTTATTTAATTTTTTAAAAAATTATGAGCAATTTTATAAAAGGCATATAATCAAGAAATTAAATAAATGACACTGACCAACAGAAAAATAAATGGAGTAGGACTGAGCAATACATTCAAGAGAATTTGGGGTAATCATTACCCATCTCCTGGAGCACCCAAGGCATGGTGGCTAAAGCACTTGGCAGCCACCTGAAAGATCAGCAGTTTAGATCCACCAGTTTCTCCATAGCAGCCAGATATGGCAGTCTGCTTCCCTAAAGATTTAGTCTTAGCAACCCAATGGGGCAGTTCTACTATGTCCTATGCCGTTGGAATTGGACTCAATGGCAACAGATTGCTTTTATGTGAGTTCTATCCTCAGAGATTCTGAGTTAGTAGATTTAGACCAGATAAGAAAGTTTGTATTTTGAAAGAATCCTAGTTGATTCTGCCAGACAAAGCATTGAATCCCATTTTTTCTTTTGCTTTGAAAATAATGTGTTTTATCACCATTCTTTTCACTTGTTCCCAGGCAGTAATTAAACTATATAGCAAGATAATCAGATCTAGGTTGGTAGGCATAATAGTTGAAAATGTAAAATGCTTCCTTCATTTGTCAAAACTGATTTATATCAATACACTGGAATATTATACCACCCTTAAAAAAATTAGACTGTATCTAGGAATATAAAATATCTCAATGCTACATAAAATGAAAACATACAAAACAGTATGATTGCTACATTTCAGGTGAATAAAAAATTCTAAGAAACTGAATAGTAGTTACCTTTGGGGAAAGACACTTAAATAACAGAACAGCAGTGGATAAGTGCAAAGGGAGAGGAAAGGTTTTCAGTTAATAACTTTCCAACAATTTAAATCTACTAACTACGTATTTAGTTGCTTGGTTTTTGTTTTGTTTAAGTAATAGTAAATATGTCAGAAACAGCTCCTGCTTACATCTACTCTTTAATTATTTGGAAACCACTTGGTTAGATAATAAAAAATATTAACAGTTTAAAGTTCTCCCCTAAAACTTACAATATTAATGCTTAGTTTTCTTGCCAGTTCTTCATCACTTTTCAGTTGTTCTTCCATTTCTCTTTGCCTTTTTTCTGTTTGTCTTTTTTCCTCTTCTTCCTCCTCTGCCAATAGTCGCTGTATGTACTCTTCACTGGCTTTGTTTTCTTCTTCTTCATTGGCTCGTCGCTCAGCCTCCACCTTAAAAATGATTAATAAAGATCAATCCTTTCCTGAAATTTTTAGTATATGTGCAATATTTTGTGTAAGCGGTGGTGATGTTGGTATGCCGTCAAGTCAGTTGTGACTCATAGTGACCCTGTATAGGGTTTCTCAGACAGTAAATCTTTACAGGAGCAGAAAGCCTCATCTTTCTCCTGTAGAGCAGCTGGTAGATTCAACCCGCTGACTTGGTGGTTAACAATCCACTATGTTATCAATAAAGAGCTCTGGTAGCGTAGTGGTTACAAATTGGGCTGCTAATCTCAAGGTCAGCAGTTCGAAACTACCAGCTGTTCCATGGGAGAAAGATAAGGTTTTCTGCTCCCATAAAGATTTACAGCCTCGGAAACCCTGTACAGGGTCACATGAGTCGGAACCGACTCCATGGCACACCACCATGTTATCAGGGCTTGAAAAAAAAAAAAAGAATAAAGTGGCAGAAAATGAATGATTTCAAATGAAGTACAAATCTGGAGGTAAATACCCAAAGAACAGTTGAAGAAGGCTCCTTCCAGAAGTCTTCCCCAGTCAGTTTAAACTAACTTTGATCATGTTCCCATCCCTTCTGTTAGTCCTTACCACATTTGCAGAAGTGTTTCTTGGTAGTATGTTCCTCAGTTAATATACTACTATGCTAACTGACTGTGGCCTGGGTTCCTGGACCTACTCCTAGCAAAAAGGAACAGAATAATAAAATAAAAGCTGGTTTACACCAGTCAGCGTTTATCGCTGGAGTTGGAGCCAATCCACAAATACAGTGGGCATAAGTGGTACAGACGCTAAAGAAACATCATTGGTCATTATAATTATTAGCTCTGACTTAAAGGTGAGGAAAATGAGGCACAGAAAAGCAATGAACTTTCTTAGGTCAGCAAGTGCAGAACTGGGACTCTACTGATCTAAGGTCAGGCTTATAGACATTCAAACTATACTGCCTGAAAGAAATAGTACAAAAACTACTTTAACTAAGAATTTGGTTAAGAATAAGCCCTTGTTCCGGTCAGAGCAAATGAGACATGAGGAAAAGTTTGCTAAAGGAATTCTAAGCTCGTAAAGCAAAGCCAAAGGAAGAGACTGAGGAAGACAATTGGCAAAGAAACAGGAGTGGGAGCTCTGAACGAAACCAACTCTGCAGCCCACACCTTTGGAATGTCAGTAATTACAATTTTCTTAGTAAGCCAAATGAGTTGGGCTTTCTTGTATTTGTAGTCAGAAGCATCCTGTTCTCACTATATTATTTTGAGCATTAAAAATTTTTGCTTTAGACGAACTCCTGCGACTCCCGCAGTGTATCCAAGAAATTAGTATATGTCCAAGGACATGGAGGAGGCGGCGCCCTCCTTCGACCTCGGGAAAGCTGGTGGTGGTTGGCGGAAGCATTGTGGGCGTCACCTGTGCGGAGCAGTTGGCAATTCACTTTCCCTCAGAAGATATTCTCCTGTTATTAAAGCAATCACAAATTTCAAGCAGGTTTCTAAAATATTAGAAGAATTTGATGTTGAAAAACAACCTAGTGCCATGTTAGAAAACTGCTTTCCCAACATTAAGGTTATACAATCTGGAGTAAAGCAACTGAAGAGTGAAGAACATTGCATTTTAACAGAAGATGGCAGCCAGCATATACAAGCAGCTCTGCTTGTGTGCTGGAGCTATACCAAAATTGATACGTGAAAGAGACCCATTTGTATTAGGGATCCGTGATACAGGCAGTGCTCAGGAACTTCAAAAACAGCTCACTAATGCTAAAAGAATAATGATCGTAGGGAACAGTGGTATTGCACTTGAGTTAGTATATGAAATTGAAGGTTGTGAAGTGATTTGGGCCATTAAAGATAAACCTACTGGGAATACTTTCTTTGATACAGGAGAAGCAGAATTCCTGACTTCAAAGCTCACTACTGAAAAGCCAGAGGTTAAATTTGCACATAAAAAAGAACCAGATATACAACAGAAGAAAGGAAAAATGAAGCAAGAACCAAAGTTAAGACTAGTCATATAGGCAGTGCCTTGGGACCTGATTGGCATGAAGGCTTGAATCTTACAGGAACAAAAGAGTTTTTTCACAAGATTCACATTGAAACTATGTGTGAAGTAAAGTAAGTCTACCTTCACGAAGAATTTACAATTTTGAAAAAGGAGTCCTTGACTTTTCCAAGGGACCCATCATAAGAAGTCAGTTAAAGCAACTGATAAAGAGAGGTGGCCAGTATATGTGGAACTGACCAATGGAAAGATATATGGCTGTGATTTTAGTGTCAGTGCTACAGGAGTTACACCAAATGTAGAACCTTTTGTCCACGGCAACAATTTTAATCTAGGACATGATGGTGGTCTGAACGTGGATGACCACATGTACACATCACTTCCTGAAATCTACACTGCAGGTAATATCTGCATTGCATCATGGCAACCGAGTGCAGTCTGGCAGCAGATGAGGCTGTGGACCCAGGCAAGAAAAATGGGATGGTATGTGCAAAGTGCATGTATGCAGATCGTTATTTGTTAACATTATTGTATTAAGCATTCCTTTACTGTTTGGATTGTACAACTGTTTTTATAACCTGAAATCATCTACTTTATTAGAATAAAAAATATTCCTCAGTTGTGCTATTGTAAAATATACAATAAGCATAATAATACTATCAAAAGATCACTGTGACAAATGAAAAAATAAACTACATATATTAAGGCATAAAGAGTAAAAAAAAAAGCTTTAAAGTCCTTATTTAACACTATGCTTAGACAAAATACTGATAGCTGTCTTAGTTATGATCACGATTATTATTTCTTAGTTCTAGGCTGGCAGTCAAATATAGGAGCCACTAGCTACATGATTATTAAGCACTTGAAATGTGGCTAATATGAGATATGTTCTCAATGCAAAAGCTTTAGAAGAATTAACATGAAAAAATAGCATAAATTCTGTCAATAACTATATATATA